TGCATCAGCAATTGAAATAGAAATAACAGCAGCAGCAGCAGACACTTATACGGTGTTTATACACTCCTATTTGATGACCTTAGATCTTTTTTGTTTCCTATCACTCTGAAAAGTATCCTGTTCTGGACAATAAAATAAATGGTCATTCAAAGTGCTTTACATATAATATACTTCATCCTTGAAACAACCCTATAGAGTTATGTATTATTATCTTCCTTTACAGACTAGTGGTGTCTCTTCTGCAGTTAAAGGAAAATATAAACAATTACATGATTAGAAAGTCATTGTACAGTTCCATTATTTTGTCACATTGATCATAGGCATAATTAAAACCATTATTTCAAGTTTTAACGAGTATTTAGCCATGAATTACACATTCTAATTAAAAAAAAAAACTAAACACTGTCAAAACCAACAAGCTCTATTAAATGGAAGGCACTGTCACATCCAGCTCCTTACCAGCCCCTTCTCACCTCCCATCTGTTGCTGACATATCAATATATCTACCTAATTCTATATCACAAAAAGGTTTCTGAAATGATTTCTATCAGGGTACTGACACTGTTTAGCACCTTTTAAATTACCACATACAAAATATAAACTGTGAACATAGTTTAAATTCAAAGTGACAACTTCTAAACTGCTCTTCAGTTAATCAAAATGCTGGGGTGCAACAGGAGAGGAAAGAGAATGGCTGTGCCAATAACTGGCTATGACAGTAAGTCATTGACTTTCCAAGACCTCCATTTTTCCATCTATAAAATGACTGTGCTGATGATAATATCAATAGTACAGTATCTACATATAACAAAATGGTGTTTCTTTCCTTCCCTCTGAGGCAGGGAAGTTCCCCTAATTAATCAACGTGTCATCGTGCTGGGTGCAAGAAATAAAGAGCTTGTCCTCCAAGAGTTCCCAGTTCAATTAGATAGGCAGACCCATTATGCAAGGATTACATGAGAGCACAACACCTTGCCAGGCACCTCAGATCAAACTCATAAGAGGACAACAGCCTTCCTCTGTGCTCTGGAGACAGGTACTGGTATTCCTCCAAGAACCTCTCAGGATGACTGAGATATCTAAGCCACCCACTTTTCAGTTTTCACCACCATCACCCTAATTCAAGCCTATTTTGTCTCTCACTTGCAATGCCAATGGCCTCCCTGCTTCCATTATTGCCTTTCGAGAATTCATTCTCTACACAGCAACAGAATGATTGAAAAGACAGATCACTAATCTTCTGCTTAAAATATTCCAATCACTTCCAAATATCCACAGAAGACAACTCAATTTCCTTTCCATGGCCAATAAGACTCTTCATGTAATTTTTTCCAACCTCCTTTTGTGTCACACTGCTCCTTGGTCCATCCACTTGGCTCACCTGGATCCAGTCCCAGTGGCTGCCCTCGCCCCGCGCCCCCCCCCCCCCCGCTATCTTCCCTAGAGGGAGAAGAGTTTGTTTTCACCTCAGGCTTCTGGAATACTCTATATGGAATACTTTTTCTGGGGTCTTCACAGAGTTGACAACTGCGGGTCTCACATTAAATGTCACTTTTGAGAGCAGCCATACTTGATCAACCTATTTTAACCTAGTTGCTGGTGGCCCTTCCCCATTAATCTCCCTTACATTCTATCTAGTTCATTTTCAGAACTCAATTAACTTCAGAAATTACTTATGTTCTTTTTCAAAAACTATCTTATTTACTGATCGATCACAAACAATTGCTTCTCTCCCCTAAGTAGGAGTCAGGCCTTCTTCTGTAGTTTACTGTTGAAGCCAGCACCTGGCATTGTGCCTAGACAGTATGCAATAGATACTTGTTGGCCTATCACACATCTCTTACTTCTGCTTGATTTTTACCAAAATCTCAGTTGAAGAAAACCACATTTAGAGAGAACTGCCTGAAGAAGTTGTAGTTTGTCCTTTCCTCTATGATCTAGATATTCTTAAAGCAAACAAGCAAGCAAAAAAAAAAAAAAAAAAAAAAAAAAAAAAATCTTGCTCTAAATTAAGGCAGACTAGCAAAGCTACTCACCTAAACCACAGTCTATTGGCTTTTTTAACTTGTGATTTGGCCCTCCTTGACCTAGTAAGTGATGTGCTAATTTATAGCCCAATGATCCTCAGTGCTACAAAGAAGTTAATGTAACACTGGCTTTTCTTTATAAGCACCCCAAAGATAAGCTTTTTCTCCAGTGTTTAAGAAAAAAACTGCTTGTCTGGTTATCTAATGCTGCCTTCTCTCATATGCACTACATCACAGAATGGACAACCTCCTGACGCTTGGTATAGATTGCTAGAGAAACAAGATCCACCATAGCTTTCTTAATAAGTGTACCCTAGCATTTTGAGGATCACCCTCACTTCTAACTTTCTCTTATTTTTCCTAGTCTCCATGTTCTTTTTCCCCTGCTTCCTCATCCATTTATTTTGTGTTTACTCATATGGTGAGCTGCTGTATTTTCTAGAATAAGCCAAGTAAAGTGTCAAGGGCTACAGCAACAGTATACATGAAATAACATGGTTATAAGTGAAAGATTAACTGCTTCTAGGAAAGAGAAAAGGAGAATGTATGAGGTAGATCTGTCTACAGACAGAGAAGGACAATCATGCAGATTAAAAAGAGGAAGGAGTCACAGTTCTCATCTAAGGAAAGTGGAGGAGAGATGAGTAACAGCTCTTACACTTAATAGTATTTACTGAACATTATTATGTGTCAGACTCAGTGAAAAGCACTTTACAACTTTTACTGCATTTAATCCTCATAACAACCCTACGAGGTAGATTTTATTATACCCAAAGAATGAAACTGAGGCTCAAAGAAGTTAATTAACCTGCAAAAGGTCAGACAGCTTGCATGTGGCACTTCCTGTGGCCTCTCAGGATATAGGGGGCACTTGACTGTAGCCAGTAACTTTACTAGAACTCATCTTTCTTTCTTATCTCCTATCTGACAAAACCTCTCTCTGAAGTTCTCTACCTCAATAAATAGAGAAGTACAGTGGCATTAACAAGCATAGAGTCACTCAACTCAAGACACCTAGGATAATCCTTGATCCTTCCCCTCACATCCACTCAGTCATTGATGTCCTGACATTCTCCCTCATAAATTTCTCTCCCACGTGTCTACTTCTCTGCATTCCCACTTTGTTGGAAACCCCATTAGCTCTTATCAGGACCACAGCAGTAGTAGCTGTGTGACCAGATGAATAATGATGAAGGGGAAGAACACTGGAGCCAAACCACGTGGTTTTGAGCCCAGGCTCTAGAACTTACTACCTGTGCAACTTTGGGCAAGTTACTTAGTATCTTCATATCCCAATTTCATCTGTAAAGTGGGGACAATAATTAGAATACTATTTGACATACAATAAATACTATATAAATGTTAGAAGTGGGGAAAGGAACTTCGCACTTTCCCTTCTCTCATCATTCTTCACACAGAAGAATATAGTGGTCATATTTTTTTTAATGCAAATCTGATCACAAAAGACCAGTGTTAAAAACTTTTAATGATTTTCCATTGCCCTCAGAAATCTCTCGTTCATAACTTTCAAAATTCTAGCCAATATTTGTAATCTTTGTGTTCTTCCAAAACTTTGGGGCCTTTTCACAAGTCATTTCCCACCTAGAACACTAGTCCAACTATATCTATTCATCCTTTATGATGAGATTAAAGTTAACTTTTTCAGGAGGGCCTTCTGATCTCCAAGAATGATTAAAGAAATCTTTGTTACATGCTTCTACAGTTCCCAACCTTGTACTTTCCCTATGGTAACACAGGCCACACTTGAAACTATTATCCAACGTGTCTTTTCCACCAGACTGCAACCTCAGAAAGCAAAAGGTCTTGCCTGTAGGTTCTGGGCTGTAAGCCTATGAATATCTACTGAATCAATGAAATTGGAATGAAGCAAAGTTAAATTTTCCCATAAAGTTTCTGGATCTTTAAGATCCTCCCCTCTTACCGCCCCCCCATCACATCCACAAATTTGGCCCTATTACTCTTCTTGCCATTGCCTGGCCCCTTACTGTGGGGACCTGTCTACTCCCAACTCTTCAGAAGTGTCCTCTACACAGGTAACTATGGCTACTAATTACTCCCTCCTCAAATAAACACAGCGTCCCTGTATGTCCCCTTCCCAGATGTCAAACAACTGGATAGCATTTTGGATTTTCCCTCCAGCTGCCCATCATGCCAGTCCACCCTCCCCAAGGCGGCAAGTTATTTTATTTCTGCTTTCAGTCCACAGACCACCCTCCTCACTCAGGTCACCTTCCTAAACAGCCCTCAAAACTTTCCAGCCTCTATCCCTAACTTCCTCCCCGAGCCACATACACACTCCAAAAAAAACCCTCTAAATATCTACCCTCGGTCGCCCCATACCTACACTGGCTCCTCACCTCAGGAGTCTCACAGGCACATTCACTGGCTGTCCTTTAGACGCGGTTCACATCCACTTTAAAATACTGACCCGGCTCCCTCACCCCACCCCCAACCCAGGGCCAGTTCCGGGCCTCACTGTGATGCACCCCAAGGTGAGGAGCCCCTCCGATTCTGTCCAGAGGACTCCTCCAGGTGTCACCATCTGTAGGGCGACACTCCTGGTACCCTTCTCTCCTTCCCGGCTGGTCCCAACTCCGCCCCATCCCCGGATTCCCACTGCTTTCCGCCGTCCACACGACCTGCGGACCCCGGGTGCGCAGCCTCCTCCACCTCCTTCCCTGCGTGGCTCCTCGGAGCCCACTACCACACCGAGCTCTCCCTCAGCTCGTCCCCGACAGCCCGGACCCCTTCCAGGCACCACCCACCCACGTGGGCCCCAGGGGCCCGACCACCCTCTCGGCACCACCACCCCTGGCCCTGCGCGGCATCCGGAAGCGGCCAGGGGAGGCCGTAGAGACCCGGGAGGTTCAGTGGCGAGGCCAGGGGCTCCGGAAAGCGGCCGTGCAGGCCGCGGCACCCGGGAGCAGGCCAAGGTGGCGGGAGCGGCCTCACCGTCAGTCACGGCTCCCATGGCGTGCGCGGCGGCGGCGGCGGCGCAGGCTGAGGCGGCGGTTGGCGGCGGCGGAGGTCAAACTCCCACAATGCAGCCGGGTAAACAGCCATGGAGGCGGAGGCGGCGGCGCCCGCGGCCGCCCGCTCCGACGCCTGAGCTGAGCCGCGCCGCGCCGCGCTGCCGCGGGACCCGAGCTCCCCGCGCTGCGCACACTGCTTGGGGGCGGCCGCGGCCGGCACGTGTGGGAGCCTGGTCAGGCGGGCGGCGGCCCTGGCGGCAGCCCGATCCCCGCCGCCCCCCCGCCGCCCCCGCCCGGCCCGGCCCACGCCCAGAGGCCGCCCCGGAGGCCGACGCCAGCAGCCAGGTGAGATCTCTGGGCGCGCCCGTGCAGCGGGGGCTGCGAACCGCCCGGGGTTGGGACCCCGCGCCTTCCAGGGAAAGGGGATCGCGCGGCCCCGGCCGCCCCATCCGTACTGCCACTGCTGGGGGTGTGCTCGCCCCCTCGGGGGTGGGGAGGGTGACGGGGGCGCCTGGACCTGGCTGAGCCTCGGGGACATGGAACAGGGGGCGCGGCGCGAGGGTCCCGCGAAGTTAGCGCCCACGCGTGCCCGGGCGGGTCTCGAATGTGCGCACTAGCGCCCGGCGCGGCCGGAGATCGAATAAGGCCCCGCGTCCAGGTGGCGCGGAGCGGGCCCCAGCGGCCGTCCCTTCTCCCCGGGGTGCCGGTGGGTGCTGGGAAAGGGGGAGGGAGAAACTTGGCGACCTCCAAGAGGACCTCGCGGCTCGACTGCGAGCGTCGTGCCCGACGTCCTACCCGGCGCCGGGGTCCCGTCGCTCTTCAGGGATAGGGTGCTTTTTATTTATGTTTTCTTTGATTTTTTCAAAAAATGTCTATGTGACTATCCCCATCTTAAGGGGAAGTTGAAAGTGAAGGGGGAGGGAGGTGCTTAATGAGAAACGTTGCCTTGTGTGTAGAGTTACACATTTCCGGAACACACTGTGAATTGTATTGGCATCTCTTCCCAAAAGTCACTTTGATTCAGTTTCGATGAGTTTCTCGCAAAGGGCGACCTTTACGTGGTGAGAGGTTGAGGGGAAGCAAGCGTCGATACAACTGGTTTTATCTCCAGTGGGATGGGTTCAGTTAGCCACAGGCAGCGTGTCAGAGTTTCGAACCGAGGTTTGATATTTTATTGAGCGTGGAGTTATTTTCCAATTTTCCTGTCCCCCAAGTATCCTGCCTCTTCATTTCCGGGATGAAGCAATTATGTAGGATGGATCTGGTTGTTCGATTCCTTTCTGAAGTTGGGTTCGTTCTCCTTGTTTCTCCCAGGTTTTTCAAAGGGGAAGAGTTGTCAATGAAAGTGAAGTGTGTTTAATTAACCTCTAGCTAGTAACCGCAGTATAGGTAAAATTTGATCCATATATATGAGGTCGAAACTTCAGTAATGCTCTTGAACAGTACTTTGAAGAATTAGTATCTTTGACTTTTGGCACAAAGGCCAAAAAATAAAAAGTTACTTTGAGTGAAGATTGTGAGGCATAACTTTCTCTCCTCACAGGGTGGGGAACCTTCCCCGGCTTTTAAATAATATTGGCCTAAACACTTGCTGCTATCCGTCTAAGTTGCTGCTCATTTTCTTGATTTTAGAAGGAGAGAAGCTAACCAAAAGGATTACTTAAAATCTTAAATATTATAAATTATAAATTGAATGTATCGATTGATTATCTGTCTATCCTAAGGGGCACTTTGGCCGGGATGGTTATTATTTAAAAGGTAATTGTCAAGTGGTGAAATGAAGTTCTTTTTTAAGTTACTTGTTACTTTGTTTTGTCATCATGATGCTGATTTTGAAACAGTATCTAGTGATTTAAAATAATCTTTAATGTTTATAGACAAGTATCACTGCCCCTGCAACTATTAAATTGTCATGAGACATTCTATTCATAGATGGAATCCTGGCTGATTTTGTAACTCACAACTTTGTCGAACAGTGCCAGGAACGTTCTTAAGTTATAGTAGATCAAGAGAGATTGGAAAAACTTTAGAGTTCAAGATAAGTCTGAACATAAACAGTTCTGAAAGTTCTTCACACAAATGATGGGAAATACATGAAAATATGAGCCTTTATGAAGTTTTAAAAATATGCTTTCTCAGCCATATAATTTAACTCCCAATTGCATTGACACAGATCTGTGTGTTGAACATTTGAGAATTATTTTAATGGACTTTTCTTCATATCATATATAGTGAAAGAATGTCTTTTAGTAAACTTTATAAAATGTCTCTTTTTTCATGTAATCAATAATATATCAGCATGTTCATGAATGTGAAAGTAGGAAGGACTCAAGCTCTACTAGGCCATGTTAACATTTCTCTCTTTTCCTGGGAAATCTCTGAGGAGAAGTAGCAGATTTTAAGCTATGACAAACTGATTTGGACTTTGGACCTTACATTTAATGACCTTACATATAAATTACCTTACATTTGGCTATTTACGCAAGTCTTTAGATTCCTGGTTTCTTTGAGACTATGGGAGTCTAGATGAGAAAGTTTGAGTGTTTATTTAATTTTAGCTTTCTGAATTTATAAAGGATGATGACAGAACTAAGTAAGTGGTCTTTATCCTGATTCTTTGAAATGATGTGGGCATTTCTATAATAAGTGTTCAGGGCAAGGGTTATCCTGAGGGTTCTGTGGACCTTTAGGGTCCATTGATAGGCTTCAAGAGATTCTTGAAACCCATATCATTACCCAGACTTTTTGTGTACGTGTATTTTTCTGGGGAAAAGTCCCATTGTTTTGTTATAAAAGAGGTCCCTGGCCTAAAAAAGTTAGAGATTTATATTTTTATTAAATAAAATGGGAGTGTGAATAATACTTAACAGAAAAAAGCAGGAAAAAGTAGATCTTTGTGTTCAATACTTGCCTTTTAAAGTTTTCTTTAGCCCAGTCATGTGGCCTTAGAGGTGCAGAAAGACACTTCCATTTCGTTCCCACAGCAAAGCGCTGCCTGTTAGTTGATAAACCACATACATAAAGGGCTTGACATGCTATTCTGAGTGCATTGTGGGTGTTTTTAAATTATATTTAAAAACTTAGAACAGAAAGATTTATGGTCTATCAGCAGAGACTTGATCTTGACTACCAGCCCCTGAAGCAAACATTTCGTTCAACTCCACTACTTTATTACTCTCCAGCAAATCTGAAATTTGACTGGGAGGCAATCACTCTAAAAAAATGTGTTTGTGCCTTGGCAAGACAGCAGGGCATGATGGAAAAAACAGATTCTAAGTTAAAACAGAGAAGTTCAAATCTGGGTTCTTTCATTTACTATAGCTACTGAATTTGCCTGACCCTTGAGTTCCTTATCTGGATCAAACTTAGTAGAGATGTTGGGAGGCTGGCGTGAAGTTTCTTATATAAAACTCTGAGTGCCTCATTTGTCCCACAGGAAGGATATGGAAGCTAGATGCGGGTAACCATTAATAAACATCTGAGTTAACATGTATAAACATGACCTGTAATAGTGATAAACATTTTTTTCAAATAAGTATGGTGACAATATTAACAAACTGAAACATTTTTTAAAAATCAAGTTTTCAAAAATGAGAGGATTTAGTTGTACTTATATTATGGATATTTGGGGGAAAGTTGAGGGAAATCGTGGTGCAGTTGACAAAGCTGAGGACATGGATGCTGGGCAGAAAGAAACAATAACCATCCACAGGCATATAGCTCTCTTTTTGGGTGAGATTCCATTTAAGCTGTGCTCTTCACCTGTAATTAAAATGAGAAATCTAAATTAAAAAATCGCATGTGTATTTTCTAGTCCATCATCTCTAAAGAGGTTTGTTCACTCCCTCCTTTATGGGATCCTCACAGGTACCCAGGGATTTAATTAGTGGAAGTTACACCTATAACTTTGGCCATCTAATTCTGACATCTTTAAAATGCCTCCACAGCTGGTGTCTGTATCAATTTTTCTCAATAGGGAAAGTGGAAGAACCGAAATGCATTAGGGTAATGAGTAAAAAGTGAGAGATATATAAATAAAATGCTTATAATGTTATGGCCATAAAGATATAATGTGCTTCTACTATTTCTGTGTTCTTTCCTTTTTCCTCTCATCTGTTCATGGTGAGCATTCATGTCTTCTGCTTTCAGGTGGGTTAGTGGCTATGAGCACAGCTTTAGACTTTTGGTTTTGACAACCGTGGATTGACTCCCATTTCCTTAGCTTTCTGGTTGTGTTCAGCTTGAGCCAGTCAGCCTCACTGAGTCTCAAAGAGATGACCATTAAATGAGACAATAAAAAACAAAAGGCTTTGCTCAGTTCTAGGCCCCTAGTAAATTCTCAAAGGTGGTAGTCATTTTGAGGATGGTTTCATTCTCATCTTGGAAAGAGCTAATGCATTCTTTCAAAGAGAAAACCTTTAATTATACTGATTCCTATATAAACCTTCTGGGACCATCCTACTTTCAACTCAGAAAAAGCCTTTCACATCTTTCTGGTTTCCATGGACGGGTCCCACTGCGTTACAAGACCTATTAGACCTGTCCAGTGCACTTAACATTTGGGTTGAATTCTCTGTTAGGCTGGCAAATTATGTGTAAATTCTGGATATGTCAGGGGTCAAACCAACAAGAATACACAGATTTGGAGCCGTGATTCATGCAAAACGACATGTTTTATGGCCTAGAACAGAGGTCAGCAATCTTTCTGTAAAGAACAAGATAGTAAATATTTTCAAATTTGCAAGCCACCCAGGTCTCTGTTGCACTTACTCAGCTCTGCCAGTGTATCTAGAAAGCAGTCATAAACATAAGGGAATGGGCATGGCTGTGTTCCAGTAAAAGATTGTGGGCACTATGTTTGAATTTCATGAAATTTTTATATACCATGAAATTAATTTTTCAACCATTTGAAAGTTTAAAAGCCATTCTGGGCTCATGGTATGTATGGGCAAGCAGCTGGATTTGACCCGTAAGCTGTGGCTTGCCTAGAGAAATGTTAGACTCATCAGTCCTATAGGTTTGTGGCATCCTTAAGGAACCCCCCGCTCCCAATATACACACACTGCCATTTGGCACCTCAAGTATTTTATGCATAAGCTAATGCCCCATCTCCCCATTAGGATAAAACTCAAGTAGGTTAGTTGTTATTAGTCGTAATGTGTGGCCTTCTCTTCTTAGCACAAGCATTATACTGTATCACCAGTGAATTTTACTTACTGCTAGAAAAGTTCTCACTTTGCCCCGTTTTCTATACAACTTTATGATTGAACCGTGTCTATATGATGGCTCTGTAGGGAATCAGTGCCTTCGGAGCTGCCCAGTGCTTCAAGTTCCTTTTATTCCCC